CAGTCTTTCTAGCACCCACTCCTCCCCACTGTTCACCCCTCAAGGGTCTGGACTATATGTGTCTGAGTGTGTGAGGTCCAGGGAGATGACCCCAGGCCTTGTTCTGAGGGTTCCAAGCCACTTCCAGAGCCAAGTAGGTAGTAAAAGGCTGATGGAAGCAGCCCAGAGCTAAAGGTTCTTCCACCTGGTCAGCCAGGGACCCCCTTGTACCCCACCCCCATCACTGAGACAAAGCTAAGATGGCCACCCTTAGTTGACTTCGGACCCCCAGGCAGTCTGAGTTGGGGAGTGGGAGGGCCTGACGTGTGAAATGTGCAAGGACCACTCTGGCTTCGGGTGGAGGGGCCTGTCCAGCTCCCCATCCAGCCTGGCGTCTCCCCGCCCGGCAGGCACACTAGGGCTGGAGGAGGGGCAGGCCACGCCGAAGGCCCTCCTTCAGGAACTGCATGTAGGTGGCCGTGGATGGGTCTTCAAAAGTTGATGAGAAGCTGAAGACATTGTTCTCAATATCCTCAGGCTTCATGGAGGTGATGTCCAAGAAGTAGTTGGCATTGATGTGGTGGACCTGGGAGAAGGGCTAGGTGAGGAGCGAGGGGGGCCACCCGGGCTCAGTGTCCCCTGCGGCCTCGATTGCCCTCCCTGAGGCAGACAGCAGACAGGGAGGGCAGCTGTGAGCACCTGCCAGAACCCAGTCCCTCTCCTCCTCTTCACAGGGCCCTCTGACTCCAGGGCCCTACCCTTGCCACCAGGTGAAAACCTACCGCCTTTCGATATCAGCTTTCCCTCCCCCGCCTCCCTGTCCCATGACCCTCTCTCCTCTGTTCCTGGGATCCCTGAACTCCACGTTCACATCTGTCAAAATGCCCAGACACCCAGGCCTGCGTCCCCATCAGCCTCCCACTCCAGCTAGTAAGCACCTAAAGGGCAGGTGCCTGGTAACGAGCAAATGGGCACAAACAAATCAACAAGCAAGTGGGAATGCACGCAGCACCCGCAAGCCCAGGCAGAGTCCTGCCTGCCAGCTCCAAGCCCCTGGGGCCCTGCCCGGGCCAGATCCACCACAGTGGGCGCCCGTGGACGGTGCGAGCTGGCTGGCTCCCCAGGCTTTTCATCCCCTGAGCTTGGGACAGAAGCCTTCTGGCTGGCACCCTCTTCCTCACCACCAAGCCCTCACTGGACCCCAGTTCCAGGCCAGCACAGCTCCTGCACGGCTCTCCCTGTTCCTATATCCCTCAGTCCCAGACCGGCCATCCCTCAGGACCTAAAGGGTAAGGGGCAGTCCTGATCAGAAGAGCAGGGATGCTGAGGCTCACAGACGGGCGCTTGTTTTCAAAAGCAGCTACACTCTTAATTGCCAACCTTTTTGAGCCTCAGTTTCCTCATTTGTAAAATCGGCATTTGTGACCCTCTATCTCTCAAAGCTTCTGTGAGACTCACGAGAGGACGTGAGTGCCCTGTAAGGGACCCTGAGGGAGAGGTAGAGTCTTGAAGCTTGGCTGGCCTGGGGCGTCCCCTGGTCCCCTCTGCCTGTCACGAGGCCTGCCCCCTCCCTCCTTCCCTCCCACCCAGGGTTGGCCAAAATGGTGTGAGGTTAGCCTTCCCTTCCAGGCTGCGTTCCTGTCCACTCTGCTGCTAGACTCTGCCCACTGCTGCCAGGTCCCCAAAGTGCCGCCGAGGTCCCCCTTTCTGAGGGAGTGTCCTGACCCCTGCACGAGGCAGGCAGAGTGGACATCAGGGGATAACTGAGGGTCAGGTGGGCAGAGAGACCAGCCAGGAAGCGGCAGAGCCAGCCCCGAAGCCTGAGGAGGTCCGCAAGCCCACGCGCCTTGCTTGCGGCTTCCTCTGCCCTCCAGTGCCTGGCCCAGGGCTGGGCACAGGTGGTGGAGGACCTACCACAGTGCCATTGGGGAGGCAGATCATCATCTCCACGGGGAAGCTGTACTTCTCCAGGTGCAGGCCAGCCAGCTTCTTGTGGGAAGGGTTCTCCTGGTTATTCTACGGGGACAGTTGGGCACACTCCTGATGCTTCATCCCTCAGCAGTGTCCCAGGGGCTCCCATGGGGCTCCTCCCACCCACCTGCTACTCACCTGCAGGTCCTCCAGCTCCTTCACTAGGGACCAGGTGCTGATGAAGCTCTCATTGAGGAGGGCAAGGATGGGCGAACTTTCCAGGACGGTCTCCCGGAGAGTTCGCCCTGAACCTGTTCAGGGAGAGACAAGACTGGGCGGGTGAGGCAGTTCACGTGTCTTCCTGGGTTTTCTATCAGCAATAAACCTCATGGACTGTAGAATGATGGTCTGGGCACCCAAGTGAAATGACAGGTTCAAAGAGTCTGGCACAGAGGAGGTACTGAATAAACGGTAGCTATAATTAACACCAATAACATACTGGCATCCTGGGCTGCGACTTGGGGTGGGGGGGTCTGCCTGGCCCAGGGGCTTGCATACAGTAACAGCTTCTTAAATCCACTAAACTTTGTGTCCCAGGGCCTTTGCTCTGACTATTCTTCTATCTAAAACACTTCCTCCTGTCATGTGGCAAACTCTTACTCATCCTTTAAAGTCTTAACTTAAATGTCACTTTCTCTAAGAAGCATTCCCTGACTCCTCAGTTACACACTCTTGTTCCACTCTGGACCTTTCCTTGTGTAAACTCATCACACTTCACTTATTCATTCAAAGTCTGCCTTCTGCACACCCTGTGTGTTCCCTGAGGACAAGGACCGCTTCTGACTTCCTCAAGGCAAGATGCCCAACACCGGGCCTATGCTTGGCACAGGACGTGCCCAGGATATTTGCTGATGGCAGGCGCATTGTTTGCTCATCTCTGTAGTCACTATCAGGCACCCAAAGAACTTTGCACCCAGCAGGTCTTTGTTGAATTTTCTGAATAAGCTAATGCAGCCCAGCCTCTAGCAGTATTTTCTCTGACACTTGACAGAGCACGGGCACTTTCACATCCATTTTCACAACTCTGGGAGGTAAGTTTGTTACTCTCTTACTGCTGAGAAAACTGAGGCTCAGGAAGGGAAAGTCACTTGGCCAAGGTCTCCAAGCTGAAAATGGCTGAGTGGGCTCTTTCTACTGTGTCCAGCAGCTTCCTCTGAGCTCAGCACAGAAACCCCCCGAGTCCTCACCCCAAAGCCCTGTCCCATGCCATCCTGGAGTCCCTCATGCTCCGAGAGAAGCATCCCGTAGATCTCAGAGCCTTTTGCACCCACAAGGTATGAAATCTCCCCCCATTCTCCCCTCAGACTGGCAGGCTGTCCCTTACCTCAGCAGGACTGGTCGTCCAGGGCCCCCCACAGCAGGATTGAGTGCACCAGCTTGTTCTTGGCCTTGGCTTGGTCAAAGGCCTCGGTGAATGGCAAGTAGGTGACCTGAAACCAAGTTGAGACAGAGAGAAGCCATTGTGTGCGGCCAGGGTCCCATTCAGGGCCTGAGTATGTAATGTGTACGAAGGTGTGTGTTTATATATATATGTGTATGTGTGTGTGTGTGGTATATGTATGTATGCGTGCGTACATGTGCATGTATGTTTATGTGTGTGTGTCTGCATGAAGGGGCGCTGATGAGCCCGGGGATGCCTCACCCATAATCTGAATGGCAGAGGGAAAGCACCCCCCAGCAGGCTGGGCCCCGCAGTGGGGCAGCCTCAGCAGCCAGCCCTGTGCAGCCTGCTGAGCCCCGTGTCCACCTGCTGCTCCCACGGTTCTGGCCCCAGCCCCAGGGAGCCCGACCCTGGCCCTCACCCCTGCCGGCCTCACCTTCTTGAAGGGGTACATGGCCACCTCCAGGCGCCGGGCGGCCTCCTCCCAGCTCAGCTCCTGTTGCCACTTGATCTCCTCAAACACAAACTGGAGGGGCTCCCCCGAGGGCAGGCGGCTGTCAATCATGTTGCCATCCTCGTCCAGGATCACTGAGGGCACTGAGGGGCCCGTGGCCTCCAGCTCCATCTGGGCCAGAGGTCAGTGAGGGATGACATCAGTGAGGGATGTCTCAGTGATGGGCAAGAGTCCTCCAGGGGCCCTGAGAGACCCTCAAAGATGCCCCACTCATGGCAGAGGTCAGAGACAGGCCCAGGGAAAGGCAGGGCCTGGTCAAGGCAGTGCAGTGAGCCTGGAACAGAGCCAGTGTGCAGCCAGGGTTCTACCACATGAAGCTGTCTGAAAGCCTATGGCAGATGTTGGGATCTGTGTACAGAAACAGATGACTTTTCAGAATCCTGCTTTGGGGACAGTGGCTTCAGCCTTCCAGGAGCTCTGTCCTTCACCCTGGACACCCTGAGGCTCCTAGCCAGCTGGGACCTCCCTGCAGCCAGTCTGAGAGGCCCTGAGGCAGGGTCCTGCAGCTCAGCCCCACCTTCCTACCTGGATAGGGACCACCTATGCACTCACCTGGGGTATGTAGCCGATGTCCACCTCCATGTTGCTGCTCTCACTGGCCCCGTACAGCCACTCCATGTCCACATTCAGAGACCTGGGGCAGATGAGAGGGTGGCCAGGGCGGAACACCACCATCATCAAGGCCCACTAACCATACATTAGACTTTATCTCACTGAAAGCATGCAACTGACCCCATTTTACAGATGAGGACACTGAGGCTTGGCAAGGTGAACCCAAGGTCACAGAACCACTGGCCCTTTTCTCTCCCCAGGCTGTTTCTTGTGCAGGCACTGCAATCACACCACCCTCAACTGGCCCAGCCCTTTACAGTTCACCAAGGGCTTCCTCATCCATGTCTCACGCACTGCCCACGACCCATGACTCTGAGGCAGGGATCATCAGTGTCTCCCAGAGGACACAGAGTAGGGCAGGAGCGAAAAGCTGGCACTGTCCTCCCTGCATTGGCTTCTGCTCCCTCTCCAGGGGGTCTGGCCTGATCATGTGCAACCTGCATATCTGCCACACGAGGGCGCCCCAGGACCAACAACCAACCACCTTGGGCAGGTGAAGCAGGTGGGGTGAGTTGGGTGCCCTCAGAGATGGTCAGTGGTCTGGTAGCCTGGTCTTGAAACCCAGGCCCAGAAGCAGTTGCCCATCGCCTTCTGTTTCATCCAGTCCAGGACCCCCACATCCAACTGGGAGCAGATGTGCCCTGGGCTGAGCCCCTGTGGCACCGAGGCTTGCTTGCTGAGGGAGGAAGAGAGCTCGTCCTTCCTCCTCATTTTTCCTGGGAACTGGGGTGCTCCCTCCCTCTGGGGACTGAGAGGAAACCGCTCCTGCTCCTGGGAGCAACTTACTCTTCCCAGGCTATCCCAGTGACCTCTTCACTCCTGCCCAGGAGCCAGTGTGCCATCTAGCAGATGAGGAAACTGAGGCCTAGAGGGGGCCAGAGCCTTGCCCACAGTCACGTTGCCCACTGGGGCCATGGCTGAGACTTAGCAATGGGCCCCTCGGCTCCCAGCCCAGGTCCTGTCCCTGTACAGAGTCACTCAGGCCCACTAAGTGATGACTTGCTATCGGGAAGGAATCTGGAAAGATGGAAGCCAGGGCCTCTGGGTCCCCTGCTCCCCTGACAAAAGGCTGACCCTGAGCAGGGGGGTTGGCAGGCAGGTGACTGGCATGGAGCCCTCCCAGAAGCCCCCTCCCCCTGTCCCCCAGGGTTTTAGGTAGCAAAGGCAGGCGAAGCCAGCCTGCCCTCAGGCCTTTGTATGTGCTGTTTCCTCTGCCTGGCTAAACTCTCCTCAGCCCCCAGGTCGCTTCCTCTGGGAAGCCTTCCTGGACCCCAACTAGCCAGGTCCCTGCCCACCTGCTGGCCTTCCTGTGGGGTGGCACGGGCAGGCTGTAGCTCTGGGTGTGTGGGAGGTCTGTCGGCAGGATGAGGGTGGGGAGGTTGCAGCTTCAGAGAGGGTCTGCTGGCTGCTGCATTGGGTGCCAGGCACAGAGTTGGATGGCCTGGCCCAGCCAGAACCTGGGGCATGCTTGTTGGATGACAGAATGACCCCCTTCAGCCCACCTCAAGCTGCTTCCTCCTGGGTCAGCTTCAAGCCCCTCCCAAGAGAAGTGGCTCTGGGGAGAGACTGAGGGGGCTCTGGGCCCCTGCATCTGAGTTCCTGGAGTTGGTGGGGGGCAAACAATAGCAGGATGATGGGGCTGGGCCTGGCCAAGGCTCTCACCTGTGGTTGGGCACGAAGAGCCGGAAGTCACGGACATGGGTGGCATCTTTGGAGAGGATGATGTGGCCGGTGAACTGGCCGGGTGAGAACCAGAAGGGGAAATCGGGCGGCTCGCTGAGCTGGAACTCTGCGTGGATCCTGGAGCAACAGGCTTGGCTGGGAGCAGGCCCCTTGCTGAGCAGAGCCCACCTGCCCTCCCACTTCTGTCCCCAAGCCTAGGAAGCCCTGGCCAGACTCTGTGTGGGGCAGAGGGCTGGGCAGGGGAGGAAGGAGTGTGCGGGGCAGGCAGAAGGGAGGCCCTCCAAGCTCATATGCTGCCTTCCCCAGAAGCCTTGCCTGACTCTCCTCTGGGCTCTCACAGCCTCTCCAGGGTGTGTGTGACCTGGTGTCACAGCTCTCATGCATCCCCTTCTGTGTGGATGACAGTCATGGCCACCAAGCCCATGCTAAGTATGTTTGATGCCTTTTCTCTTCCTCCTAAGGAGGAAGTCACCACCTTGATACACAAAGAGGAAACTGAGGCTCAGACAGGCAAAGCTGCTTGCCCAGGACCAAAGGGTGGTAAGTGTGGAGCTGGGGCCTTTGAGTCTGGCCCTGCCCTCCCGGTGCTGGATCTTCTGTGCTGCCCTGGAGACCCAGGCCTGGGTGGGAAGCAAGGACAGGGTTGCGAGGACAACTTACCGGAAAATCACAGTGTAGTAGAAGTCGCTGACGGCAGTCAGGCAGGCGACAGCCCCCTGAGGGGCAAAGCGGGTCTTCACGAAGGGCCGAGGGTGGAACATGCTCAGGAGCCGGTGGATGATGACCTGGGGGAGCACAGTGGGGTGCGGGCTGGTTTGCTGAGCCCTGTTTCCCAGGGGGACGTTCAGCTCTGGACCTGCTGCCCCAGGGGCCCAGGTCAGGTGGGGCCAGAGGGAGGCAGGAGAGTGGGTGGGGCAGGCCTGGCCCTGAGGTCCAGGCGCAGATGGGGAGGGGCTGTGCCAGGGCTGGGGCTGACCTCACCTCCTTGCCCTTGGGCGGTGGTGGGTAGAAGCGGTTGTTGGACAGATAGCCAGTGAAGACGCTCAGCTCACTGGGGATGATCCACCAGGGTTCACCCAGCTCCACGTGGCCCCGTGGGGGAAGGAAGGGCCGGAAGTGGCGGGCGGCAAACACTGCACTTGGTGAGGCTGCGGTCGTCCAGTTGCGGAGGCCGGACAGGGCCAGGCGGGAGACCTAGGGCAGGGGAAGGCCAACGCTCTGGGGCACTGAGCACCTGCCATGCACACATGGACGTCTCCCTTGAGCCCCGAGCCAGCCCACAAGCCCAGGGAGCAGAGGGACATCCTCAGCCCCCAGCCAAGAAGCGGCCCCTCTGTGGCCCCTCAGGCCCAGCCCAGGCCAGAACAGCTTGCTGGAGGGCAGGGAAGCCAAGGGAGCTGGAGGCGCTGCCCAGGACAGGAATGGGGGCTCTTTGCAGGGGGTTCTGACTGCCTTCTCCCTTGCTCTCCAAGCCCAGGTCCCAGGCCTCACATGGTCTTGCCTCCTTCTTTTACATAAGCCAGCAGACCCACCCTGGTGGCCAGCGCCCTGCCCTGGGCTTCCTCACCCCCTCCACCCGCCTTGCTTTCTGCTCCCTAATCCCCCCTCCAAGTCTCCTTCCTGCGGCTAATGTCCCACTGACAGTCAGAGTCTGGCTTTGGAGCTAAGTCTGTGGAGGGAGGTGGTAGCCACCTTTGGGTGAAATCTCTAGGGTTAAGAGCAAGATGAGACCACAGAGAAGGGGAAGGAAGGACACCCTGCAGAGTACCCTGCTTCAAGTTAGCCTGCGCCACGCTGGCTGGGCACCTGGGGCTGAAAGGCCTTCCCTGAGCTGTTTCCTCCTCAGTTATACCCTGCGCTGCTGTCTGATGAGCTGATGGGCAGGAGAGAATGAGGCCTGTCTGCACATCTGCCTGGAGCAGAGGCAGGACCCTGGCACGTGCAGGTCCCCTGGTAAAAGCTCCACCTTCAGTAGCTCCTCCCCGTGCTTCGGGGCCACCATCAGCGGCCACCATGACAGTGAGTGCCTGGTCCCCCTCAGGGGTCTCAGCTACCAGGGAGCTGCCCCACCTTTGACAGTAGCAGGTCCCCTCCCCCACCTCCCTGGTCAGTGGGACCTGTGGTCAGTGGGAGGCCAAGCTCGGAGGAGAGGGTGCAGGAGAGGGGTTTTGAGGGTTCTCCAAGCAGGGCTGGCTGCACAGAGCCAGGCAGAGGCTGCCCGCTCACTGGGTCCTGCTCATAGGCTAGGGAGCCCTAAGGGGAGCAGACTGCAAAGGGGGGCCGAGCTACAGGCCTGCTCCATACCATTCTCCCCTGTGAGTGCAGGTGTGCCCCCTCCACTTGCCCCATCCTGTTCTCACTGCTCCTGAGGAGGGGCTCATCTGCTCGGACAGCCTCAACCACCAGCCCAGCAAAGCCAAACCATTCACACAGATCTTACTGGGCTCTTCATCCCCCAAGGACCTCAACTTCAACAGCCCAAACTGACTTCATACCCTCCCTTATCAGACCCACTCCCCTCCTCCAGCCCCCATCAGGCAATGGGCCGATCATGCACATGGCCACCAGCCAGAAGCCTGAGTCACCCCAACTGTCCTCACCCCTACCCCACCGAACACTTTCCATTAATAGCCATGCCCTGCCTTTCTTCATTTCCTGGCATCCTCCAGGCTGTCCTTCCCCTCCATCACCACGGCCTCCCCCATCTGCCTCCCCTTCCCTCCTGGGAACTAGTCTTCTTGCCTCCCATTTCTCCCCAGCTGCCAGCCTGGAGAGCTTTGATCTGATGAGGGAATCCTCCTATCTCAAAATCTGCTATAGTATTTTGCTGCTGCAGAACGAAGGCCAAAGTTAGGCAGTTGAGGCCCTTTGCCGTCTGACAACTTCTCTTCTGGTCCCACTGACCAGGATGCCCCTGCATGTGCCCCCGGGCCCTAGGTCCAGCCATCCTCTCTCTGCCCTCGGTTGGCCCCCCTGGCACTTCCTGCCTTCAGGTCTTTGTTCACCCTGAAGTGACAGTTCAGCTGAGATGTGGAGGCTGAGCAGGTGTGGGCTAGGTAAGGAGAAAAGTTGTTCCTGGCTGAGGGGACCGTGTGTGAGAAGATGCACAGCTGGAAGGAAGCTCAGATAGCCACAGTAGTGGAAAGCTGAGGAGAGGGCAGGGGAGAGCGTGGGGAAGGCAGGCAGGGCCTGGGGAGCCTAGGTCCTGTGAGGGCCTGAGACTTTGTCCACTGGGCCTCAGGTTGGGATGGGGCTGGTTAGGATGGCACTTGTCAGGGTCATCCTCACCCCGCAGCCCCTGCCGGAAGCTGAACCTCAGATCCAGTTCACTGGAGCTCAACAGAGCTCCTGTTGGGCGCCAGGCATAGCGCTAGGGCCCTAGAGGTGCACATGGGTGAGTTACAAGCCCTGGTGGTGGTGGGGGAACTAACTTACAGAAAGTAATGAGTATAAACAAGGAAGCTGCATCAACAGAGTGTCTTGCTGTTTCCTGCAGCTGGATCCTTCCTACCCCTGCTGACACCTGGCTGAGCACTCTTCCCTCTGCAGTCACTGTCAGACGTCATTCCCCACAGGAAGCCATCCAGGGCCCCCAGCTGGGTCAGAGGCTCACGCTTATCCCTCTACCTCCCCTACCAGACTGTGCGCCTGGACAGTAGGGACAGCATCACACCTACTTCAGGACCCCTGGGTACACCGGGTGCACAGAGGGAAACTTGTAAAGGAAGGAAAGAGAGAAAGGAGGAAAGATGAGCAGAGCACAGACCCATTCTCAAGAGGTGAGCACACACAGATGATCCCCTGGCTCTGGGCCCACCCGTGGGGGCCCCCTGCTGCCCCTACCCCAACTTACCCCTAGGAACCCGTCTTTGCTCTTGGTCATGGACTCTGGTAGCAGAGGCTGGAATCGGGCTTCTATGGTGAGTGTCTCCTCGCTGGGGTCAGGGGGCAGCTCCTCCTCCTCATAGCTGGCTGTAGGAGTTGACCCTATGAGACACAGGTCACTGGAGAGGGGCCCTGCCTTAGACAGCAGGGCGTCACTTCTCTCAGGATGAACACACGGCCAGTGATTAGGGCAGCCAGGCTGGGGAGGGGTGGGGGGTGGGGGCTTTGTAACAGGTACCAATCACCAAGGTAACATCGTAGATCACATTGTTTATCGAACACATAGAAACAAATCATGTATGTCTGATATACATTGTGGATATATAATGCATAACGACATGGTGGATCACACATAGACATTTTCTCCAATGTATATCACGGTTCAGTTACACAGCAGTCCTGTGAAGCAGTGTTATCAATTCCATTTTACAAATGAGAACTTGGAGGCTCAGAGAGGTGAAGTCACTTCCCCAAGGTCACGCAGCTAGGTAGTCGGGGGATCAGGATCCAAATCCAGGCCTGTTTTACTCTAAACCCATAAGCAACCACAGCCCTCCTTGGGGGGCATTAAGATCTCAAAAGTTTCCTCAAAGGCTCAGGAACCAGATGACCTGGGTTCAAATCCTAGCCCCACCCCTCACCAGCTGGTGGTGGCTGGCCCAGTGTCTTGTTCTCAGGATTAAGTGAGATAATCCACATAGTGTTAGCATCAGGCCTGGTATAGAGTAAACCCATAATAAACTTGAGCTATATTACTGTATTTCAGGGTTGGGGATCCACAGAGCTGAGGCTCAAACCTAATTCTGCCTCTTCCTACCAGGCCAGGCTGCAGAAAGGCCACTCTCACTGCTTCCCCTCCCTTCGTCCTCCAAACTGCGTCCGAGACGAATTTGGTGCTTTGCCTACCAAAGGTGGCATCTGGGCAGGGAGCTGCCTCTCCCAGGACTCGGGATCCCCCGCACCAAAGAGAGAAGCTACTTTCTGGGGCTTGGAGAGGAGAACGCATTGGGATAGGCATCATCAGCCCAGCTGCGATGTAAGGGCGATTCCACTTCCTGGACGATTTGGGGCAAATCACTCAGCCTCTCCGGTTTTCCTACATGAGAGATGGAGACCACGCTACTGGAGACCCTGTCCTGGGGTCTCAGGAAGAAACAGGCTGCTCGGAGAGGCACTTGGTCAAGGGACGCGGAATAATGAGCAACAGCAAGAAACAGAATCAGGAGATTTTGGTGTCCCAGAAAGAGCCCTGGTCCGGAAGTGAGGAGACCTGCTTTGCTGTGATTTCCTGGGTGGCCCGTTTCCCCATTTGTACAGGGAGGGGCTGAACTGGCAGTGGCTCAACTCTATTTGCCAGATCTCTTCCTGCCCAGAGATCTGCCAAGGCTGTAGTGACTCCAGAGTGGAGGGAGTCACCATGATGGCTTAATGGAGGAATGAAGCCTATTTCAGAAAAGCTGGCTAATAACAGGTGGGAACCCACGACACCAAGATGGACTGACTGACAGACAGAATAGGTGCATTAAAAGCAGTTCTTAACCAGGACTCATCAGAATCGCCCAGGATGCCTTTGTAAACCACAGATGCCCAGAACCTCCCTCAGACCTACTGAGTCAGTCTTGGGATGGGGGTGGGGCTAGAATCAGGAAAATGTGCTTTCAATTAGTGCCCCCCAGTGGCTCCTGATGCAAACCTCTGTTCTAAAGAATCATTGTTACTTCTGCATTTGTAAGTCAATGCAGAAAATTTCAAAACGGCAATCTGGAAACCTCAGAGGAAGGGAATAAAAGGAGCGTGCAGGGTTATTGGTCTGCCTTCTTACCCAATTATTTAACTGTTATCACAGATAATTATTAATCATAATGTCCAGCATTTTATGGCTCTTTTTTAAATAAAAAGTTTTATTTCCTGACATAAGTAACATTTGCTCATTTATAAAACTCTAAAGGTGCAAAGCAGAAAATTAAACACACGTAACTGCCCCATCTAGAAAGGACTGTTTGCCTCTATTTCCTGCTTAGATTTGGTGTCTTTTGGTTTTGCTTTGTTTTTTTGTTCTCCCAACAACTTGGTCCAGTTTTGCATTCCCAGTGGCCTAGGAGGGAATGGAAGAAGAGATTCTTTTCCCCTGATGGAGAAAAAGATTTATATGAAAAAATAAAAAGTGCCCCCAAGCCCAGCAAGCTTGGCCAACAAGTCATTAGGAGGGAACTCTTGTTCTCTGATCATAAAAAAGGACAAGGAGGTGGCTGTGTGGATGCTCAGGGAGAAGTGTGTGCAAAATAAGAAGTCAATGCAAACCCAAACTGGGTTGACCTCTATACCTCCCCAGCTGCTTTCATGACAGAACTGGCTGCCCCCCCCCACCCCACCGGGAGGCACTGACACGTCTGCATCTGCTCCAGTACATTAGCATTTTTCATCTGACCCTCCTCCTCTGACAGCGACCACAGGTCACCAAGTAGTCTGACCTACCCGACCCATCATGAGACACAGAAAGCCCATCATAGTCCTTTGGTGCTTACTCACCTGAGAGCAGTTGGCATCTCTGTCTTGTCATTCCCATCTATTGACCTATTTACAGCAGGCAATTAGGGTAACAAGTAGATGCCCAAGATCACAAGTTCAAGAAACATCACAAGAGATGGACACAGAGGTCAGGGTGGTGATGGAGTGGTGAGAGAGGCATTTTATAACCCATTAGAAAGCTTCAGCCCCTCATCTTTACAACAAAAAAATCACTGATAGTAACCAGGCAAAAATGGAAAACAAGGTGGGAAAAGAATCTGACAGCTCCTGGGCAGAGTTTAATATTTAGTGGTAGCAGTAATAGCGCCTGTCTGTTGAATAGCTACTGCATGTGGTTCACTTTTCACCTATTTTCTCTAATCCTCAAAGGACCTGGTGCAGGACAAATCCTGGCTCTGCACCGTTCCAGACTGGGCAAGCTGGTAAGCCTCCCTGGGGAACCCAGTCTCCCAAACTATAAACGTGAGGATCAGGCCAACATCCATCTCATAGGGCACTGCGAAGTTGAAAGAGCTAACTCACAGGAGGTGCTTCACTGATGTTTGGTACTGAGGAGGTGGTCAGGGAATGTTAACTAGTACTATTCACATGAGAAAAGAACAGGCTAGGGGGTGTGTGTGAGTGTCTATGTGTGCCCATGTTGAGACAGCTTGCCCAAACCCCCAGTTAGAAAGTGTCAGAGCTGAGAGGGGCCCAGGTCTGCCAGGACCCACCATCCTCCCCCTACTCCAGGCAGCACTCCTGCTCAGAGCAGACACAGCAGACACAGAGCAAGACACTGAGGGCGGTGCCTGGGCTCCCACCTTCCCAATCCCCAGCCTCTGCTGGTACCTGTCAGCTTCTCAGCGATGGGCTTGAACTCCTCCGGGCTGATGTACATATCCCGGTCAGTGTCCAAGGAGGAAAAGAGAAAGAGGCCTTCCGTCCCCAGGGCTTTCAGTGCTGAATCCTGCTTGGGAGGAGGGGGCTGGGCTGAGCAGCTGGATACCCAGCTGGTATCCCAAACAGGTGGAGGGAGAAGCTCTTACCGCTATCTTCCTGAGAGCTCTCAGTACTTCCCAGTCCATCTGTCCAAATGCCACCACTGCACACCCCGGAGCCCCAGGTCCCTGGTCCCAACCCTCCTGGTCCCTGCTTCACTCTGTACATTCATATACAATCCACTCTCTAAGTGGCCCCTTTCTATCTGGACTTATCTTGGAGTCACCTTCTTGGTTCACCCACTGTCCTCTTTTGTCTCCCCTCCCCACTGTCCCAGCGCTCCCGGGCCCCATCCAGATGCTCGGGTCCTAGCTTCGCTCTATGCTTTGTCTGCAGTCCACTGTCCTAGTCAGCCATCTGCACTGTCCCCCTGCAGCCTGTCCCAGCTCCTGCTGCACACTGGGCTAGTCCTTGCGTCTCTCCCATCGGTCCTCCCAAGTCTGCCCGATCTCTGGATCCCCGTTTTCCTATCCCCTCCAGGCTGCCCTCCCGGCCCTCCGGCCCTGTCCCCCTCAGGTCCGGCCGCCCTTCCATCCCCGCGCGCCAACCC